TTGGATCTGCTGCACGTTCTTCAGCTGATCCTCCACTGCACTGGTGTCAGCGCCGTGTTGAGTAAGACCCCAGGTCACAACCGATCCGTCGCCAAGAATGGCAGCAAAATCAGTGGAGCCTTGAACTTGAACTTGGCAAACATGCAAGGTCAGGAAAGCACCCTCGTGCACACTAGAAAGCTTGATGGGAAGGCATCCATCCAGAAGGTTTCCAGATGAGTCCACCAGCCGTCCTCTTCCGATTCCGAGCGCGATCTGCGCCCGACGCTCCAACATATGCAACTGTTCATCCAAGCCAGCTCTCAGAGACGCTGTCTTGCCGCTGAGCAGCCCGACGTCCACGGCAATCGACATTTTGGCGCATGGAACAGCTCTTGCTCATATGATAGACGCTTAGGGTTTAGGGTTTAAGGCTAATTACCATAAGTACTCCGTAGGGTCCCTTTTGTAAGTATACTTTTATTATGGTTACTATCATACTTATTACTACTCTTATTACTTCCTTACAGAAGGGACTATGAACGAGCCAAAAGCCCCATTCTAATCATAAGGTCCCTATTTTTGATGGCTTCCGGAGGGGAGGGGGGCGAGGGGCCTCAATCATTAGAATAGGTGTTGAGAGTATACCTTACCATATAGCTACCTCTAAGTGTTATAAAGGACTACATGGGGAAGATGATCAGTTATTCAGAACTCGTTTTGACCAGAATCTCAAAACGCCAGAACGCCAGAACAATACTGCCGATGCTAAGCCGCACCAACACCCATACAAACACTGGAAGTTTCAGAAAACAAGAAATGGGGGTTTCCGAGAATTGGGGTACCTTATTTTGGGGTCCTTATAATAAGGATCCTACTATTTAGGGTACTATATTAGGGTCCCCTATTTTCGGAAACTCCCAAAAGTCTACATCAGCAACAAATCGTAGCACCCCTAGTCTGAGCACCGCAAAGCAAGCTTTCCCATACGTTGGCAAACCGACACATTAGGGTTTTAGGGTTTAGGGTTTAGGGTTTAGGACCATTAGGGTTTAGGGTTTCGGGCTTAGGGATGCAGTTACATTACACCCCACCAAATCCTTTCCTGAGGCGGGTCACCGGGTCATCTGACGCAAACATGCAGGAGATCCGTATGAAGTCGAACTCGAAGAAAGCGAGCTTGGTAAGCACCTGGAACAGGGCTTTGGGGCGCAGGGGTTAAGGGCTAAGGGGGTGAGGATTCAGAGCCCAACCATATTTCGGAGTGTCAGAAACCTGAGTGATTGCCGATATCATTCCTCTGGGTTCCCTATTATATTATAAGTATAACGTTAAGCTACCCCGAAACACTTTTCCGATTACTGAGACCAGGCTTTTGTGCACCTTCCCTTCTGGGATTTGGGCGTGGGGTTTAGAATGTGGGAGAAGCTTATAGTTTAAACAAGGTTTTGGGCGCCATTATACTATAGTTTTAATAAGGAACCCCCAAAAAACAGTATAGGCAATTATTGAGGCCCCTACCTACATTAGACAAAGGCGCTGGGATGGAGACTCAGGCCGGAGCGGTTGAATTCTCTCTTTATTGCACAAATTAGTGATGCTAGTGTTTGTTACTAGTGATATAGGGGCCGTGATAATTAGAATTAGGCTTTTTTTTTTGGCGATTATACTATACTTATGATAAGGACCCACAAAAATAGTGTTGGTAATTATTTAGGCCTCTGCATTACCTGCTATTACCAGTGCTACTGTTCTTATTTCATTTAACAGTCCTTCCGGTTTCGGGTTAAGGATTCATCGAAGCTTCAGCTTCAGTCAGAGGCATGGATTAAGATGATTAAGGCAGAGACACCTGGCAGAAAGAGAACGTATCCTTCTCAAGCCGGAACTGCACATCAAAGCAAAGGAACATACGACTCGAACTTTAATCCTCAACCTCAGAAGCCCCAAACCCTAAACCCTAAACCCTAAACCGAGGGAAACCCTAAACCGTCAAGCCACCACCTCAAACCCGAATCCCTAGAAGCCCTAGGCCGGTCAGGGATTGGGGTTTTAGCGTTTTAACCTCCCAGTATAGGGGCCTTCATCATTGGAACGGCTTTGGGGTATGTTAACGCAGTACCTACAATGGGGAGCCTTGTTGGGACACTATTGGTAGTTTATCGGGGTTCTAGGATCATTTTTGGTCCAACTCTCCGCCCACTCCCGAGGTGAAGTGCTATCAGCACAACCCCCACCTCAACCCCAGACCCTCTACAATAGACTCCATCGCATGCGGCCCTATGAGCCCCCCCTATCAAAAAACACATACGCATGTTGGAAAGGATGAATGACATTACTGTACGCGTCTACGCTACAAGATCCTGAAATTCTTATACCCTGAAGCCGTCAGCCCAAAGCCCCCGAACCCTGAACACCCTGCACCCTTTTACACACTGCAGTGCCCTTAAACCCTCCATACCCTCAAACCCCCTTACCCCCGATGCCCCCAAATCCCTTGAAACCCTATAGGCCCTACACCCCAAACCCAAACCCCTAAACCCTAAACCCTTTTACACCCTAAACCCTAAACCCTAAACACCCCAAACCCTAAACCCTAAAACCCTAAAACCCTAAAACCCTAAACCCTAAACCCTAAACCCTAAACCCTAAACCCCTAAACCCTAAAACAACCTCGAAACCGCAAAACCTCTGAAGCGCCAGGAGGCGATAATGTCTCGGACCGGTGGCACCCATCCTCCGAGGCTGACACATCCCAAGGGCCCAGGGCCCCTCTGAGAGCTTACTGTAGGGGCCTTACCCTAAGGCTCTTATCGCTGTGGTTTAGGGTTTTAGGGTTTAGGGTTTAGGGTTTAGGGGGCTTTCTAGGGGAAGGTTTGGGCTTAGGGGGCTAAGGTTTGGGCTTTCACTATGGGGGTCCATGAGCCTTAGGGTAATAAAATTAGAATAGGGTTTTGGGCTCCTTTATAGTGTAACTATAATAAGCTTCTTGGTAATTGTTCAGGCTTCTATATTACAGGGCCATGCGAAAGTTTACTTGCTTTGTAGCGTACCTATGATTTCTATAGGAGGGATTATAGGGACTATAATAAGAACCTGCAAAACGGTGGGTTATGGTAGTCTTTAAGGTAGGGCTTAGAATCTGATGTCGCGGTAACTTCTTCAAATTACCACGGGGCGTCAATTGGCTTTAAAGACCCTAAACCCTAAACCCTTAACCTTAAACCCCAAACCCTAAAGCCCTAAAGCCTTATAAAAAGGGTGGTTTTCCATGCCCAGGGTTTCGATGCAAGGAGCTGTAGGTCACTTGAAGGATCATGGGACTTAGTAGCTCAAAGGGCATCTTAAAGGGATCTATAAGGGTTTCTGTGAGG